GGAGGGGGGGTGGGTGGTGGGGTGGGATGGGGGGGGGGGGGGGGGGGGGGGGGGGGGGGGGCAGTTAAAACCCTTAGCAGTTAGCCCAGGCGCTAAAAACTCTCAAACGAAAGCAAGAGCAATTGAAGATCTGTCAAACTCTCCTGTGTGTATTCGCGTTTTTGCTCTGGACAGCGTCAAAGTTTCTGTTTACAACAGGTTTTTGCAGCATTGAGCAATTTAGATAATCACAGACATATCTGTTGATTTTTTTGGAACCCAATGTCCATTCAGAAACGTTTTAGTTTGACAGAGTTTTTATCAAGTGCATTTTTGCACGCTCGTGAATTACCTCATAAGTAACAAAGTGCAGACGCGATGTAAATTAAGAGATTCATTGTGCAGTTTAGAGAGCTTCATTGATTATATCGGAACTTTGTGAGATCGCGATCAACTAAGATGAGTGATGGCTTTTTAGCCATAATAAAGGGAGCGCGCTAGATAAATAGATGTGAGCACTGTCAGTGATTTAATTCTGGAACCGGGTCTGGCCAAGCCTTCACATGACAGTGTGCATTCACAGCAAGATCCAGTTCACGAACCAAAAGCGTGACGTGAGTAAACTTTATTGAGATCGGGCCATGTCAACCAGTAACTTTATAATAAATAACGAACAGTAAAAAGTTCAGGAATGAAAAGTATGTGATTTCTGACTGAATATAGTCCCACAACTGTTTTTTTTTTTGGACACATGGACACATTTCAAGAGACACAGAAAACTTCAATGAACATCCGAAAACCAGTGTACACATTTCTGGTTAATACTGCACAAATCCTCCAGGCACCCATAGACATGCATATAGGGTGTCGGGTGAGACAAAGAAACATTTTCACACTCAAATATCACACCTCTGAATTGGTCAGTCCACCAAGAAGGGGTGTGACCGGTAGCAGAGTGGAAAGATCCTAACCTAAACCAATCATGGCTCAAACCCTTTGAGACAGACGCTCTCCATAACTCATCTCTTTTGAGCCTGATCTTCCAGCAGTTTATCTTTTGTTCTTCTCTCTCTCTCCTTACGTTGCTTAATTGTGTATATATGTGTTTTACTTAGTTTAGTTGTATGCTAGCCGTAGTTTCATTTATTAAACCCCTTGTACTTATGATTGATTGTCTCTGTGTTTTCTGCTCACAGTTCAGAGTTACTGAAACATTGATCTTGCTACATTCTAAGCTACTGCTAGTACTGTGTGCAGTAGGTAAGCTATTCTTTCTTGGCCAGCAGCAGGATTGCAGATCAATTCCGCCAAAACCAAATACTTTCATGGTTTTAGGAGGAAAGGATGAATTTATGTGTTGTAAATCTGACAGCTCATTCAGCGCAAACTAACGTGGCGGCACCCATTGCCCATTGTAGATCAACTAACATGACCATTATAAAGGTGTTTAAATAACCACATGCATTTACTTGCACATATTTGAGAATAGGAATTTTAGACATTTCATAATATAGTTAACACATTTGTAAATATTTTGAATAAAAAAGAAAAAAATAAATAAAAACGATGCATCACTCATACAGAGCTATAGTGGCTGTGGTGTATCACGTGACAAGCATGACACGTGGCCAAGGAAATCAACAAACCTTTAGTAGTGCAGGTTATTGATTGAAGTGTGAATGTGATGATTTATTATTTGTTTTCTGTAGAGTTTCCAGTCTCTCTCAGTGCCTCCTGAATCTACAGACATAATTGACAATCCTTTCAATTCTGTCTTCTCTTTTGATGGCATGAGAGAATCTCTCTGTCAGCTGAAAGAAAAAATGGAGGATTTCTGCAAAGAAGAGTTTAAAAAGATCTCTGACAAAGGTAAAGTCCTGAAGATTCTCTGCTCTCAGAAATTAGTATTCCACCATTTAATGTTACATAGAACATGATATTAGAAATGGATTAGGAATGGATGCAGAGAACATTTTATATTGACAAGTCAATAACACTGTTTGTATGTGTTGATTTCCACAGTCACTTTCACCAGCATTATTCCCAGGACAAGGAATGACTTCCTACAATGTAAGTCACCAAGAAAATAAGCAGAAAAACATCTCAGGCTATGTATGTAACCCAGTTTGATGCTATGGGAATGCATCTGCGTGAGAATCTGCATCTGCATAATCAGGCCTTGAGTGCATTATAACTTTGACCAGTACACGGGCAACATTTAAGCAGAAAGGGGCAACTGAGGGAGTCTGCAAATCTCCTACTCTTTTAAGCAAAGTCAACTCCAGTAACAGAGCCACCTTAAGAATCAGAAAATACTCAAACAGCTTAAACTGGGCCCATAATAAGCCGTCCAGGACTACAGAAAGATTCCAGGAAGGAACTTGCAGTCTGCAGATAGGCCTCAGCCATCTGGCACCAGCACCACACAGAAAACGAGATAATGGGGAATGCTTAATCATAAGGAATGTTCCATTCACACAGATGGTCCATCAATGTGGATGTGGCAAACCGAGACAGTGGTCACACACACTTTAGGTGTAGCAGGCAATAATTACCATAGTGCTGATTGCACCACAATTCAAAGAGATACCATTTCCAGGCATAAAGTTTCCTCATGATGGGACCCAAGGTTTTAAAGCCCTCTGCATGTAACCCTCGTCTTTTTCAGAGGGCTGCACAATGGGTGGAAACCATATGGTCTCATGTATAACAGCCCCGAAGGTATCACGTTGCAGTGGCAGCAGTGAGACCCAACAGCCTCTGAAATTGGCTGACAGGGATCTCCTGACCTAGCTTGACTTCATTCATTCAGTAAATATGGACTAGACCCCAGCAGGAGACAAGTGTGCCTGCATGGAGATTGAGTCCCACATCACCCTGAGAAAATTTGTTATCTGACTCAGAGAGAGAACTTTTTTTTTTGTTGTTCAGTCTTAATCCCAAGCACTTTAGATGAGTGAGAACAACATCTTGATGTTGAAATGTTAACTTTTGTGACAGGGATAACATGAGCCAGTAATCAATTTAATTAAATACTACAAGGATGTCCTGGATTCAAAATGGAGCCAGTGCTGCATCCATGCACTTCATAAAAGTGTGGTGTGACAAGGCCAGGCCGAAAGGGAGAACTGAATACTTGTAAGCTTTGTCCCTGAAAGCAAACCTGAGAAACTTACTGTGTTGTGTAGGGGTGACCCCAAATAGTCGACGATTCGATGCTTCGATAGGAGGAGCCTGATTCGACTACCAATCTCACAGTCGAATATTCGCAGGGTGTTATGATCATGCCATTTTGCTATATGGGGGTGCTCAAATGTCTGATTTCACATATAACTACCAGTTTTCTCCCAATAAGTTAATATACAGCCTATTAAAATAATTCTGTAAATAAGAATCTGAAAAGAAATAAGCTTCAAATAAATAGTTTTAACGTGCGTGAATAAATCCAACCACCCCTATAGATTTAAGTTTCACTTTCCATAGTTCATAACCGACAGAGGAGCATCTTGGCGGCAGGGATTTAAATCTTTAACAAGACTCAAATTGACACAGGCAGAGTGAAAGTCTGGATTTTTTCGATCAGGTAAGATACAAGTGATTTCAAAACATTTCAGCTGGTTTATATCCAGTATCTCACAGAAGTGAGTACACCCCTCACATTTTTGTAAATATTTTATTATACCTTTTCATGTGACAACACTGAAGAAATGACACTTTGCTACAATGTAAAGTAGTGAGTCTACAGCTTGTATAACAGTGTAAATTTACTGTCCCCTCAAAATAACTTAACACACAGCCATTAATGTGTAAACCGCTGGCCACAAAAGTGAGTAAACCCCTAAATGAAAATGTCAAAATCGGGCCCAATTAGCCATTTTCTCTCCCCGGTGTCATGTGACTCATTAGTGTTACAAGGTCTCAGGAGTGAATGGGGAGCAGGTGTGTTAAATTTGGTGTTATCTCTCTCACGCTCTCATACTGGTCACTGGAAGTTCAACATGGCACCTCATGGCAAAGAACTCTCTGAGGATTTGAAAAAAAGAATTGTTGCTCTACATAAAGAAGGTGAGAAGTACAAAGACAAGTGTGTCTTGCCTACAGTCAAGCAGGATGGTGGGAGTGTCATGGTCTGGGGCTGCACGAGTGCTGCCGGCACTGGGGAGCTACAGTTCATCGAGGGAACCATGAATGCCAACATGACTGTAAAACATGACTGTAAATCTTATTTGCATTCGTATAGAACATTATATTCTTGACCAGTTTGAGTGAATCCAGTGGAGGGAGGAGATGAAAAGGCACCGATGCATATGTGAGAGAGGCGTTTCCTGCACCACCCCTCTGTGGGGTGTCTTGAAGATGCCAGTGTATTGTTTGTTTCTCAGGAGATCAAAGTATTTTAGTTTCTTTTATCCTTACAGGCGCACAAAATATTGACTCTTTGGGCCCAATTTGGACATTTTCACTTAGGGGTGTACTCACTTTTGTGGCCAGCGGTTTAGACACAAGAGCGGTTGTGTGTGGAGTTATTTTGAGGGGACAGCAAATTTACACTGTTATACAAGCTGTACACTCACTACATTGTAGCAAAGTGTAATTTCTTCAGTGTTGTCACATGAAAAGATATAAAATATTTACAAAAATGTGAGGGGTGTACTCACTTCTGTGAGATACTGTATATCGTGTATATAGTATTTATCTCGTATAAGATGCATTTGGTTGAGTTGTGCTGCAGTAAAGCGCTTTATTGTACAATGATTATCTCTTTAGCGTGCAGTGCGAGCAGGACAAACAACAATGCAGAATATTAATAACTATGACTGTGATATACATAACATTATAATGAGAACACTATTATAATAAAACGTTGTGAATTTTTAGAGTTTAGTTGTCGTGTTTCTGTATGTTGTTGCGTGAAGAACATGTCCACAAAAGGAGTTCATTCAGAGCCGCGCAGACAGGTTAATGTATTCGGGCCCTTTTTGTAGAGAGCCTATATGTAGAATATTAATGTTATGCTGTATAAGTAACGAAGCGTATTCTGTATGAGAGAGTTAAAAAGTTAAATCCCATTGATTAAAAACCTGCTATCAAATACTTCATTCTGCTGGTCATCTTCAGTGGCAAAACAGAAATGCAGAATATTAATAACTACTGTCATATACATAATGTTATAATGAGAGCACTATTGTAAAAAAATTTGTGAATTCTTAGGGTTTTGTTGCCATTTAATGTTAACTATCTTTTAATCAAAACATAAAACATTTTCCCCCGTTTGTTGAATCCAGTTGAATGCCTTTTATAGCACCATTTTAAACTTGGTTTAAATTCAGTATTTGCTTACATTCATTGTGTGTAATTATGAGAGTATTATTTTAAAAAAAGATGTAAGCCTAAGTTATTAACTTTTAAATTTCTCATTTAAAAACAGTGTCTAATCATCAGAGGTGTAAAGAGTACCTAAAAACCATACTTGAGTAAAAGTACAGATACCTTACAGTGAAAATTACTCCACTACACGTTACAAGTCACCAATTCCAAAACAACTTGAGTAAAAGTCTTAGAGTATCTGATTTTAACAGTACTTAAGTATTTTACTTATACTAAATATAGGCTCAAAGAAGCACTAGTCAAAGAGACATGCCAGTGAAAAACTGTAACGTTGTGGAGAAGCTGCGGAAAACAGGCAGAGGCAAGGATCTATGTGCAGGTATTTCATGGAAAAACTAGAACAAACAATATTCAAATTAAAAAGTCAAAGCCTTCTAGCAGTGGATGTGCTGTTTGGGCCTCGTTGCCGGCTGCAATGTCCTCATCTCATACATAAAACACCTCTGATTCACAAATACTTGCTAAGGAACTCACATTCACATAAAGTAGCCTTGTTGACAAGTTTGGGTGAATAAGGGCAAAACGCAGTACATGCAGTGACCTGTAGCAGGCAGTGTCAGGTCTTTTGTAGCAGAAATAAACTGCCAGCTAGGTCAATGCAAAATGTAATTTGTAACTGCAACACTCATTTCAAATGTAGTGGAGTAAAGAGTACAGATACTCATTCAGAAATGTAGTGGAGTAAAGAGTAAAAGTTGCTAATACCTTTGATACTCAGTACAACTACAAAGTACCCGAAAAGATACTCAAGTACAGTAACTAAGTACATTTACTCCAATACTTTACACCTCTGCTAATCATGTCTAAGTATTTATTCAAATGAAGAACTGCAATAGCAATAACAAATATTCTAGATACATTTAGTAAAGAGCCATACAGGTACCTAGCGGGTAAACCATGATTGAACTAAAATATACACCACTTATTTAACTGAAAAATAGTTACGCTGTATGGTCACATTATAAGTAAGCAATACCTGAGGGTTAAAAAAACCATATTAATGTTGCCTCTCCATCACTCTCCAGAATAAAATGATACTGTAGATGTCGTCAACGTAGTAATCAATGCATAATATGCTGTACTGTTTACCAAAAATTGCTGCAAATACCTGTAATGGGGGGGGAAGGAGACGTGAGACGTGTGGATCCATATGCAAGCTTTTTATTTAAAGATGTGGTCACAAACACAGGCAGGGTCAAAACACCAGCGAACAGGTATGGCACAGGCAAAACACATGAGCATTCCTGTAAACAGGCGTGGTTCGATTGACGGTGAACAGTATCCAACAAGGCAAGGCAAAGAGTTATAATCCAGGTACACCGCAATAATCCAGGCAGGGGCAAACAGGGTCCGAAACAGCAAGCAAAGGGTTAATCCAAAATACACAGGCAGAATCAGAATACAGGAAAACAGACAAGGCAAGACTATGAAAACTAGAAACTGGCTCCGTAGAGTAGCTATCGCTAGGAGAGAGATAAACGCTATACAATACAAGAGACTAAACAGAAACACGGAATGGCTCGGTAAAGCAGCTAACACTTGGAGAGTGAAAAATGCAGAACAATACTCAATACCACTTGAGCAGGATCTGGGTGGGTGTTATATAGTGTGTGTAATAGCTTTCAGGTGAGCGTGTGATTGGTTACAGCTGTGTGCAATCAGTGCAATGGATGATGGGAACTGTAGTCCGGAGTGACATGTAACAGTCTGTGTAGTGTGAGAGTCCATGTCGTGAGCGGGTGACCTCTGGTGATGAATGAACGGAAGTTCATAGACCGGATTCGTGACAATACCTGTATAATGAAGCTGTCATCTATCCTACTTAAACCCATTCAAATGTATTGTCAATGCTGGTTTGTTTGGAGAGCTCTATGAATCACGTGACCACGCGGCAAAGCTTGTCGCAACTCTGTTTTTCAATAGCTCTGGCTTTAACTGAAGCGCTACATTTTACGATTTACACCACATTAAGTGTGCCAAAACGGTATTTATTGTTAGAATTTAGTATTAAAACGTACAAAATTTCTAAGCTGAGACTTTGTTTCATATCGCAAGCAGGGTTGTCACTTTGGCTTGAGATTTACATGGGCAGCGTGAGACAGAGCCTAAAAGCGTGTGTCTCTTGCCAAATGCGTGAGAGTTGGCAACCCTGGTAATGTATTTTGCCCCGCCCCCAAAACATATGATTCCGAATATCGGCAAGATTCGAAAATTCCGATTTGACTATGAAAATCCTAAGTCGGGGACAACCCTAGTGTTGTGATAAGAGTTTCTACATGAAAATCATTCACATAAAGTAGCCTTGTTGACAAGTTTGGGTGAGTAAGGGCAAAACGCAGTACTTGCAGTGACCTGTAGCAGGCAGTATCAGGTCTTTTGTAGCAGAAATAAACTGCCAGCTAGGTCAATGCAAAATGTAATTTGTAACTGCAACACTCATTTCAAATGTAGTGGAGTAAAGAGTACAGATACTCATTCAGAAATGTAGTGGAGTAAAGAGTAAAAGTTGCTAATACCTTTGATACTCAGTACAACTACAAAGTACCCGAAAAGATACTCAAGTACAGTAACTAAGTACATTTACTCCAATACTTTACACCTCTGCTAATCATGTCTAAGTATTTATTCAAATGAAGAACTGCAATAGCAATAACAAATATTCTAGATACATTTAGTAAAGAGCCATACAGGTACCTAGCGGGTAAACCATGATTGAACTAAAATATACACCACTTATTTAACTGAAAAATAGTTACGCTGTATGGTCACATTATAAGTAAGCAATACCTGAGGGTTAAAAAAACCATATTAATGTTGCCTCTCCATCACTCTCCAGAATAAAATGATACTGTAGATGTCGTCAACGTAGTAATCAATGCATAATATGCTGTACTGTTTACCAAAAATTGCTGCAAATACCTGTAATGGGGGGGGAAGGAGACGTGAGACGTGTGGATCCATATGCAAGCTTTTTATTTAAAGATGTGGTCACAAACACAGGCAGGGTCAAAACACCAGCGAACAGGTATGGCACAGGCAAAACACATGAGCATTCCTGTAAACAGGCGTGGTTCGATTGACGGTGAACAGTATCCAACAAGGCAAGGCAAAGAGTTATAATCCAGGTACACCGCAATAATCCAGGCAGGGGCAAACAGGGTCCGAAACAGCAAGCAAAGGGTTAATCCAAAATACACAGGCAGAATCAGAATACAGGAAAACAGACAAGGCAAGACTATGAAAACTAGAAACTGGCTCCGTAGAGTAGCTATCGCTAGGAGAGAGATAAACGCTATACAATACAAGAGACTAAACAGAAACACGGAATGGCTCGGTAAAGCAGCTAACACTTGGAGAGTGAAAAATGCAGAACAATACTCAATACCACTTGAGCAGGATCTGGGTGGGTGTTATATAGTGTGTGTAATAGCTTTCAGGTGAGCGTGTGATTGGTTACAGCTGTGTGCAATCAGTGCAATGGATGATGGGAACTGTAGTCCGGAGTGACATGTAACAGTCTGTGTAGTGTGAGAGTCCATGTCGTGAGCGGGTGACCTCTGGTGATGAATGAACGGAAGTTCATAGACCGGATTCGTGACAATACCTGTATAATGAAGCTGTCATCTATCCTACTTAAACCCATTCAAATGTATTGTCAATGCTGGTTTGTTTGGAGAGCTCTATGAATCACGTGACCACGCGGCAAAGCTTGTCGCAACTCTGTTTTTCAATAGCTCTGGCTTTAACTGAAGCGCTACATTTTACGATTTACACCACATTAAGTGTGCCAAAACGGTATTTATTGTTAGAATTTAGTATTAAAACGTACAAAATTTCTAAGCTGAGACTTTGTTTCATATCGCAAGCAGGGTTGTCACTTTGGCTTGAGATTTACATGGGCAGCGTGAGACAGAGCCTAAAAGCGTGTGTCTCTTGCCAAATGCGTGAGAGTTGGCAACCCTGGTAATGTATTTTGCCCCGCCCCCAAAACATATGATTCCGAATATCGGCAAGATTCGAAAATTCCGATTTGACTATGAAAATCCTAAGTCGGGGACAACCCTAGTGTTGTGATAAGAGTTTCTACATGAAAATCTACTGTGACAAACCAATCCTTTGATTGAATTTGAGACACAATGAGTTTGAGCTTTAGCATCCTGAACCTGTAGGTCCCCAGAGTATGGTTCAGGGCCCGCAGATCTATGATCGCAATCAACCCCCCATCCTTATTTGGAATCAGAAAGTAGTGCCATAAAAGCCTAATTCTCTTGAGGGAAGAGGAACATGTACCATGGCCCCTTTTGCCAAAAGAGAATTGAATTAGTAAAGGAATATTCTGCTTCACAAGGGTGGGAAGCATGACATTAAAGTGAGTATGTCAAAGGCCAAAATTAATTCTGTAACTTTTCTGTATGGTTCATAAGACCTACTGAGAGGCATTCAGCAGAAGTTTCCATGCTGACAAATGCTCTGAGAGAGGAATCAGCATTTCTTCTCTCTGGATTTCAGCTTGTAAATCTTTTGTTTCCCTGAAACAGCTTGCTGACAGGAACTCCTGAACTAATTTTTATTTGTGATTCATTGAAAAGGGAGTGTCCAAACTTTTCCAGGGGAGCAGACACCCTTGTGGAATGGAGGGCTAAGTCTGTGGTCCGGCAGAGTTCCCTTAACTGAATCAAATACCTTGAGAGCTGATCGAGCATGCTCCACTCTTAAACAAATAACACAAAGATTGTGCTTGTCATCCCTCATTAAGAAACAAGGATGTGGCGGAACACACTTCTTATAATTATTAGGTGGCAATACATTCAAATAAGCCAAACAGGGTAGACAAACAATATTTTAGTTTCATACAACACTCAAACATATGGCTTTTTGAAGAGAAAGGAGCTGTTGACAGTTGTACGGGCAGTCGTGGCCCAATGGTTAGAGAGTCGGACTTGTAACCCGAAGGTCACGGGTTAGAGTCTCACTACCGGCAGGAATTGTCGGTGGGGGGAGTGAATGTACAGCACTCTCTTCTGAGGTGAGACTGAGGTGAGACCTTTAAGCAAGGCACAGAACCCCCAAATGCTCACCGGGCACCACAGCAAATATAGCTGCCCACTGCTCCGGGTGTGTGTGTGTTCACTTGGATGGGTTAAATGCAGAGCACAAATTCTGAATATAGGACACCATACTTGGCCAAATGTCACTTTCACTTTTTAAGTGCCTATTTATGGCCTCAGTGACACACATTAATGGCCTCACCTGACCACACATTTGGCCAATAGAACTGGCAAGTTTTTGCACATGCTTCAGACACAGGCTCACACAGAAGCATTCCCATAATATCAATGTCATGATGCAACACTGAGTTCCCTTGAAAGGTAAGTCGCTACGGTTCTTCATGTTCTTCCTGTAGAAGGTGAAAGAAAACAATAGTTTTATATTTGATCATGTTAATGATTATTTGAACAGGATATGAGCTATACTGAGACACTGATAGACCTTGGAACAGACACTATGAAGAGTTCAAATACATTAAAAGATCTTACAGATTTATATTTCATGAATGTCATGTGTTGTATCTCCATCAGATTCCTATCACCTCACTCTGGATCCAAACACAGTGAATAAACATCTCCGTCTGTCTAAGAAAAACAGAGTGATTACTGGTGCTCGCAATGTCCTGCTAAATCCTGATCATCCAGACAGATTTGATAGATATATTCAGCAGGTGTTGTGTAGAGAGAGTGTGTGTGGACGCTGTTACTGGGAGATTGAGTGGAGTGGGATATTTGGTGTAGATATTTCAGTGTCATATAAAAGCATCAGCAGGAAGGGAGGCAAAGAGTGTTTGTTTGGACATAATGATCAGTCCTGGAGTTTGTCCTGCTCTTCCTCAAGATACTCATTCTGGCACAATAACATAGTTACTGATCTGTCAGTAGTGTCCAGTTGTAGAATAGGAGTGTTTGTGGATCACAGTGCAGGAACTCTGTCCTTCTACAGCGTCTCTGACACAATGAGCCTAATCCACACAGTTCAGACCACATTCACTCAGACGCTCTATCCTGGGTTTGGTGTTGGTAATAAATCATCAGTAAAACTATGTGATTTATCAGAATAGATTAGAGATATTCAACCCATAACTTTGAGCTGCATGATAAATCAGTAACAAGTCGAGTCAGGTTTATTTATATACCCATAAGAAAGAAAAATCAACATACTCAATTTAACATCTCAAATATTTCTCCTAGACAGAAATTAGGTTACTTTAAGATCGAATGGAGATTTTTGCTTGAGTCTCCTGCTTCTCAAACTTGTCACCTGAGACAAAAACTCTCTCTCACAATGGTCTTCTTTAAAGCTTTAGACGAGATCTGAACAACATCACACACTGTGCTCAGATATTTCTCTTTAGCTAGAGACTCTGGATCTCTCACATTAGTCTCCTCAAAAGTTTAGATTAGATATCTCAACAACATCACTCACTGCTTAGATATTTCTCTTTAGCTAGAGACTCTGGATCTCTCACATTAGTCTCCTCAAAAGTTTAGATTAGATATCTCAACAACATCACTCACTGCTTAGATATTTCTCTTTAGCTAAATAATCTGGGGGTCTCATATTAGTCTCCTGTTAATGCTTTAGAAGATATCTCAACAACTTTACAAAGTGTGCATCAAGTCAAGTATTGAAAGGCACTAAATAAAGGGGTATTGAAGTATTGAAAGGCACATAATTTGTTGTTGGAAATAGTAATGTAGCGGATGCCTTAATCAAAACTGATCTATAGAAAATGTAACCCTGGAGCTTTCTTTGCTGAAAGGCACATAAATGGCTTATGACTCAGTCTTGATTATTAATTGACTAATTTGATTATTAATACATATTATATGGAAGAAATGTTTGAGCTCATATTGCGGCATTTGACTTGGTGCACACATTGTAAAGTTATTGAGATCATTTCCTAAATTTAGAGACAAATGTGAGAGCTCTCGAATCTTTAGCTGAGGAGAAATATCTGAGCACAGTGTGTGATGTTGTTGAGATCTCTTCTAAAGCTTTAAAGAAGACCATTGTGAGAGATCCAGAGTCTAGCTAAAGATAAAAATCTGAACACAGTGTGTGATGCTGTTGAGATCTCTTCTAAACTTTTGAGGAGACAAATGTGAGAGATCCAGAGTCTAGCTAAGGAGAAATATCTGAGCACAGTGTGTGATGTTGTTGAGATCTCTTATAAAGCTTAAAAAGAGACAAATGTGAGAGATCCAGAGTCTCTAGCTAAGGAGAAATATCTGAGAACAGTGTGTGATGCTGTTGAGATATCTTCTAAAGCTTTAAAAGAGACAAATGTGAGAGATCCAGTGTCTAGCTAAGGAGAAATATCTGAACACAGTGTGTGATGCTGTTGAGATCTCTTCTAAAGCTTTAAAAGAGACAAATGTGAGAGATCCAGTGTCTAGCTAAGGAGAAATATCTGAACACAGTGTGTGATGCTGTTGAGATCTCTTCTAAAGCTTTAAAAGAGACAAATGTGAGAGATCCAGTGTCTAGCTAAGGAGAAATATCTGAACACAGTGTGTGATGCTGTTGAGATCTCTTCTAAAGCTTTAAAAGAGACAAATGTGAGAGATCCAGTGTCTAGCTAAGGAGAAATATCTGAACACAGTGTGTGATGCTGTTGAGATCTCTTCTAAAGCTTTAAAAGAGACAAATGTGAGAGATCCAGTGTCTAGCTAAGGAGAAATATCTGAACACAGTGTGTGATGCTGTTGAGATCTCTTCTAAAGCTTTAAAAGAGACAAATGTGAGATATCTAAAGTCTCTAGCTAAGGAGAAATATCTGAGCACATTGTGTGGTGTTGTTGAGATCTCTTCTAAAGCTTTAAAGAAGACCATTGTGAGAGTGTTAGTGTTTTTGTCTCAGGTGACAAGTTTGAGAAGCAGGAGACTCAAGCAAAAGTTTCCATTCAATCTTAAGGTAACCTCATTTCTGTCTAAGATAAATATTTGAAATGGTAAAGAGATTTATTTTATTTTTCTTCCTTCTGACATGTCATTTATCCACACCATTTCAATCAAAGACAATACATGCATTGTCATATTTGAAGTTGTTTTATGTAGACCGTGTTTTATTGCACAGTGATTTAACAAAGGAAACCATAACCTTTACATACATGTAAAAATGGGCTGTTCAAGACAACATTTTTATACTAAACAAAGCAAAAAAACAAACAAACAAAAAACCACTGGTACACTAGTGTTACATTTGTTTTAAAAAAGGTATTGCTCTTATACTAAACATCTTGCACTTGTAAGTCACTTCTAGTGTGTTTGGAAAATGTGGTGTATACAATGCTGGACACTGAAGATAAATTTAAACATTTAAACTAGTAACCCTTGATATTCCTATAAGAAGTTACCATAACAGGCCTTTAAAAACCTAAAGCAAATGAGGTCTAGAGGAGTTTTAAGTCAAATCAAATTAGTTTCATAGCACAACACTGCAAAGCATCATCTTGCCACAATGGGCATAAAGTACACTACAGCAATACAACAGCCTCTATTCTTAACTCTAAGAAACAGCAACAAAAGAGGAACCCTTTGGTTTATTCAGGGTGAAACATGCATTTAATGTTATGATTAGAAAAGATTAAGACTAGGTAACTATGGAGAAGGTTTCAAAAAGTTACAGTAATTCACAACATATGGGTTTAAGTTCACAACACAAACATAATAGGAGTCAAACTGGTCATCAAAACATACAGCGGACAGAATGTGTATAATGACCTTATCCAATGCTGTGCCATCCGCCGACGAATTGTTCTCTCGCAAATGTAGCGCTGAGTGTATAAAAAAAAAAAGGCCCTTTAAATTTTGAAGTCTGTAATGACTGTTGTCTGGGAACAATGAAAATTATTTTGACATTAACTTGCATTACTGGATTGCATGGTGTTCTGCGTAAAATTGTTGTTGTGAAATTCAGGTTCGCCAGCAGGGGGCACCCAAGCTTTACACTACGCATCAGTAGCTGACTAACAGAACAGAAGTAGCATTCGGATACAGGACGTCATTTATACAGTATACAAAATCAAGTAGTCACAAGCATGAGGAAGGGCAGAAGCCCAAGGGAGGAGATGTTAGTCTCACGTCTTAGAATGAGGCACACTGGTTTAAAGACAACATTGCACAGAATAGGAAAACATCCCACTGGATTATGCACTTATTGTAATGTACAAGAGACAGTGAAGCATATACTGTTAGACTGCAAAAAATATGAAGAAGATAGGGCAGAATTAAAGGCACAAATGGATGAACAAAGCATGACACTTGAGCATTTATTAGGGAAAACATCTGGGAGAATACGCAATTTATTAATGTTATTTTTGAAAAACACTGGGTTAAGTGAAAGAGTTTAATAGGGATTTTTTTTTCTCTTCCCTCTCCACTCCTTTGATGTCAGTCTAATGCCCACACACCTTTGAGATGAGTTGCCAACCGCCATTAAACCTGAAAGAAGAAGAAGATGAAAGAAGAAGTAGCATTCAGTATGTGATGAGTGTCAGTGTACACGCAACGAAAAGCGCTCCTTGTTTAACTTGTGTTTTTCATGTTGTTTTAACAGGTAAGCTGTCAATAATCATTACTGTAGTAATGCCCAACAGTACTGTGTTCTTATAGAGTCGTAGTTCGCACCGGAGATATTAAGAAATGTTAACTTTAACCGTGATCAAGAGTGTCGTACATAAGTCTCTAGCTAAGGAGAAATATCTGAGCACATTGTGTGATGTTGTTGAGATCTCTTCTAAAGCTTTAAAAGAGACAAATGTGAGATATCTAAAGTCTCTAGCTAAGGAGAAATATCTGAGCACATTGTGTGGTGTTGTTGAGATCTCTTCTAAAGCTTTAAAAGAGACAAATGTGAGATATCTAAGCTAAGGAGCTAAGGAGAAATATCTGAGCACATTGTGTGGTGTTGTTGAGATCTCTTCTAAAGCTTTAAAGAAGACCAGTGTTAGTGTAAAGTTTCCATTCAATCTTAAGGTAACCTCATTTCTGTCTAAGATAAATATTTGAAATGGTAAAGAGATTTATTTTATTTTTCTTCCTTCTGACATGTCATTTATCCACACCATTTCAATCAAAGACAATACATGCATTGTCATATTTGAAGTTGTTTTATGTAGACCGTGTTTTATTGCACAGTGATTTAACAAAGGAAACCATAACCTTTACATACATGTAAAAATGGGCTGTTCAAGACAACATTTTTATACTAAACAAAGCAAAAAAACAAACAAACAAAAAACCACTGGTACACTAGTGTTACATTTGTTTTAAAAAAGGTATTGCTCTTATACTAAACATCTTGCACTTGTAAGTCACTTCTAGTGTGTTTGGAAAATGTGGTGTATACAATGCTGGACACTGAAGATAAATTTAAACATTTAAACTAGTAACCCTTGATATTCTGAAATGTTTAATGCTATTTAAATGATAGTTTTAGTATTTACAATATAAGTAAAAGTTTAACATTTCTCCGAAAATAAAACTGAAGACATCTTAAGACAAAGCTGATATCTTAATGAGACATAAGAGAATCAGCGCTTAGTATCCTGAGCGTAGAGTTACTTCTGTCAGAGCCATAGCCTTGTGAGCAACACATCGACATGAAGCACAACTGCACCTCAGACAACATGGGTTCAAATCCCAGCTAAAGGTACTTTCCTGCTCCTGTTCAGTTCTCACCTGTCCAGTTGTTTCCTGTCTCTACTCCTACTGTCCTGACCGTTAAAGGTGAAAAAAAAAACATTGCAACAGCAATCTCTGAGCAGTAAAACATTTTTATAATGGAGTCTTGCAAGAGATTACAGCAAGACAATAAAGAGATCTCCCATGTTTCTCACACGTTTCTCTCCCACTGTCATTTTGGATTCTTTTCTTTCCGAACTTTCGCAAGTCTCAGTTGTGTCTACTTTTATTTCTCCTAAGGATTCTGAGACACTGTTGAGACTAAAATGAGAAATACATGAGAATCACAACTAAGTCTCCTGAGGTTAGAAAGAGCAACCACTGAGCAATAGAATAATCCTATAATGGAGTCTTGATAGAGATTGCAGCAAGACAATAAAGAGATATTCTGTTTCTTCAAACACATTCTCTGTTTTGACTCTTTTTTTTTCTTAAATGTTTCTTACAACTAAGTCTCCTGAGGTTAGAAAGAGCAACCACTGAGCAATAGAATAATCCTATAATGGAGTCTTGATAGAGATTGCAGCAAGACAATAAAGAGATATTCTGTTTCTTCAAACACATTCTCTGTTTTGACTCTTTTTTTTTCTTAAATGTTTCTTATGTCTCATTTGTGTCTACTTCCATTTCTCCTAAGGAATTTTAGGAGAAACATCTGAAATGCCGTTGATACTAAAATAAGAGATATATGAGATATATATCAGTCTCCTGAGCTTAGGAAAAGCAACCACTGAGCAATAAATATTTCCTATGGGAATGTATGGTTCATTACTTACCTTCGTAATTAAAGATATAATTTTCGTGGAAGAACTTATATCCTTTGTTGAGTTTTGAGTGCGGAGTGATTGAATAAAGGCCCACGAGTCGAAAAACATCCGCCGATGTAAATGGCGGTAGATTTTTCTGGGAAGTTGTGAAGAGTAGCGCGCCTGAGTCCGTTTCGCCAGAAGAACCCTTACACAACAAACGCTGCTACAGCTGTGCGTTCCAACGTCCGTGAAAAAGGCCTATTGTAGTCAAATAGATTGTGGACTCTGTTCATTAAAAACATCAAAGTCAATTGACACAACAATGACCACTGTACAAATGAAAAAAAAACATGAGATTAGCTACACTGTTTGTTAGCTTTGCTGCAATTTCAACGACTTAAAACTAGTGTTGTCTGAAACAAAATAGCAGTACGTTAATGTTAAAGGTTGTCCTATAAGAAGTTACCATAACAGGCATTATTGATGTCAGTCTAATGCCCACACACCTTTGAGATGAGTTGCCAACCGCCATTAAACCTGAAAGAAGAAGAAGATGAAAGAAGAAGTAGCATTCAGTATGTGATGAGTGTCAGTGTACACGCAACGAAAAGCGCTCCTTGTTTAACTTGTGTTTTTCATGTTGTTTTAACAGGTAAGCTGTCAATAATCATTACTGTAGTAATGCCCAACAGTACTGTGTTCTTATAGAGTCGTAGTTCGCACCGGAGATATTAAGAAATGTTAACTTTAACCGTGATCAAGAGTGTCGTACATAAAATGGAGGACGAGAGTGTTATCCACTCCAAGAAAGACCAGTAACTTTCAGCACGAGCAAAGTGAGAAGTAAATGTCTGAAAATACATCTAGTTGAGATAAGAATGCAAAACGAGGAATGATGTTGAATTAAATAGGCTGTATGTCACTACACACGTCTAATCAATGTTCGTTCACATCTGAGTCAAAAGAAACACACGTGTCTGTGATAACACATTAACACTATAAAGCTTCATTTAGCGTCACTCTGTCAGTCATTACATTTAAAAGCACATTCAGTATGTACTGTTAATAAGAATTCCAGTAAGATTTTTGGTTAAAATCTAGTTCATGAAACAAAGACAGTTAATTAGCATGTTTCATAGAAGATTAAAAGCTGTGAATAAAAACAATTGAAACGGTGATCAAAAAGGGTGTTAATACGGCTTCATACCGTTATTAACGCTGGAGCAATGGGGATATATACTAAATAGTTATTTTCATAGTTATGTTTGAGTTTATACATTAATTGTGCTCATTTTAAAGGAGTTTGTGATACTTTAGTGATGTTATTCATCATACCTTTCCTTTATACCTTGTGAGAGTGAGCACTGTTACAATGTCTGTGGATTTAGAGCAGGTATTGCTGGATAATTGTGTGGTATACAGAGTAATGTGTCCATTGCCATGTATCCGCATAGACATGTGCACTATCAGACATGTTATTGTTACAATACTCTGTTGAGGTAGCTGACTAACAGAACAGAAGTAGCATTCGGTATGTGATGAGTGTCAGTGTACACGCAACGAAAAGCGCTCCTTGTTTAACTTGTTTTTCATGTTGTTTTAACAGAAATAAATGTGTTGCCCCAAGAACGGACATCGCATCCTTCTTAAAAGTGTAACACAAACTCCAAATAAATTAGCTATATCTCCAGCGGTCTGTCCCAAAAGGAGGTGTGCATTGATTACATGCTAAGGTAAAAGGTATGGTAGGCGTCCCATGTTTGTCTCCGTTTCTGAGCGCATGTGAAGCGTCTTGAAGTCTATGAAAGTTATAAAGACAGGTTTTTACTTAAGTAAAAGTACGAAAGTACATGCTTTTAAAAGTACTTAACTTACTTCACTTTAGTCCCATAGTATTGCAGCCATCTCGTTGCTTTTGACATCCCAGCACTCCACGCTGCCTTTGCTCTGAAAACATTGATTTCAAAAAGATATGCAAGTATGAGTTTCAAATTAAAAAACGTGAGGAGCAAATATCAGTCTGAAATGGTATATAACGTTAGCAAAACAGCCATCATAAATGCTCCTCGAGCCGATGTGTTTACAGGGGCTTCGGCTGCATTAGTAAACTTAATTAGCATCACATGGATATGCTAGATGAAAATGACGAAGCGGATCATAAATAACAGTTAACAAAAAATTGAAAGTTATTGTAATATAGTGAATGGGCGGGTTTGTCTTACCTGCTGCTTTAGTTTCTGTGGCGCGAGTGTTGGTTAGATCTGTCAGCAGTCTTCTTGGTTTAAAAGACAAAAATCACCGGACTTGTTTGTCTGTGTCCGACTGAGAAAAGCACAAAAAATATTTTTTATTTTCCCACTGACAAACTGGTGTTAAACACTGTATATTTAACACTTGCCGTTGATAACTTTGATGTAATGGCTCTTTGCTAGCTAAAACATTAGCATTGCTGAGCTGGTTAATCTTTAAATAATAAGATACGACAATAAATCCTAAACGTTTAAAAGTGCTTTAAATAGGAATAAAGAAGCTTGAAATGCATTGTTTAGCTGTTCTTTTTCGTGACTCTTCTTTGAGTGAGCTCAGCTCAGCTGTGATTGGACGGGCTGACGTCACGGGACTGACTAGATAACGGGCGCGGTTTTTGAATCTTTTTAGGAAACACACTAAAAATATATATTTTGCCATAAGTAAAAGTTATTACATTAAAAAAGGCTTAATGTAGGCTTAATAGGAAAGATTTATGTACACTGAAAAAATTATACTAATTGTTTTAAGGTAACTGGTTGCAAACAATTTATTTTAGCTACATTTAAAAAAATGTTGAAAGTTAGTCAACTAAATTTTATTTATTTAAATGTAGCTTAAATAAATTGATTGCAACCACTTACATTAAAAAAAGTAGTAAATTCAATGAATCATTTTTTCCAGTAAAATATAGTAAATAAACAATAGTAACTACATTTACTATTTATATATGTATTTATTTGATTAGCTTTTAATTAGTTATAATAACCTATAGCCCTATACTCTATACACACATATTTTCTCCGAAAACATTATTTAAAAGAAATGAGAAACCATGGAGCAAGTTCACATTTCTTTGAAATATTTTGTGGTCAGCCATAGTACGTCTAAAAGCTATAGGCTACATTAAATTAATTTTTGAGTTATTTGATTGAAACGTTCTTTCGATATGAAAACATTGAGTTAAGCCAAAAAAAGTTGTTTCAAGTCTGTTCAACATGATGCAGTTGTGTTTGAACGGGAAACCTGATATAATGGTGTTAAATCAAAATAAATTGTTTAAATAAAGTGAACAGCATCAAAAAACTTTCTTTTTCCCCCCCTTTTTTTTCCAGTGAGAGGTGTTCTTTATCATTCCTGTAAAACGACTCTTTTAAAGAGGATCAATTCTGTTGTACAGTTAAGTGATGGAGCAAATTATGACCCTGGTGGCTTTCAAGTGTGAGGATGGGGCATCTTCTGCATCCAACACAAACAGATTCTGTGTTTTAGCTAAAGAGCGTGCGTGGACGAGGAACGTCTTTTAGAGATGTTCAGCTAAATATATCCTCAACATTTATATAGTGTCTCCTAATGTATTTGCTGTCCATCCTCAATCACTCAAATGTAAATGTGTAATTATTAGGTCTAAAGACAAACTGTATGTCATTCCACTTACAAACAATATTGAAAGAGACTAAAAACTGATTCCTGGGGAACTACTTCTGCAGCTTTATACATATATCAATGCCAATTGATGTTTTTCAGCTTTATTTCTCCATACAGTTTATAATTATATGTTATAATAATGCAATGATATAATATTAATGTAGAGTGAGTGAACTTCAATTTTTGGCCATGCAATATAGACAGTGTTTACTTGACTGTACACTTTATAATGCATTTGCTATATTTATATGTTTTATTACTTTCTGAAAGCAATGTATCTCCAAGTAATGAAGTGAAATCCAAGCATGATGAAGTAAAAGTAAAAAATGTGACTTAAATATACTACAACTTCAGGTTTTTTAATAATGTACTTTGAAAGTATGTTTTTAATGCATTGTTACAAAGATCATTTTCAGCACACAGTTAAAAAATATTCATACAATATATTTATGTAAAGTGCAAATAAATATTCTTATAAAAAATAAACAGAACTTTTATTTCAAGTATATTTTTGTAAAATATATTTTCATTTTTAAATTACAATTATTTTAAAGTGTGTTAAAAGTTGTGTTGTGAAAATAGGCAAAAGCATGATGCTAATATACTTTTTATATATTTAAAGATAGTACTTTTTTTTGTTAGTATATTTGCAATGTACTAATAAAACGGAATATATTACAAATACAATAAAGTATACTTTTTTCACTAGGGAATGCCTCGTTTATAATGGGTTTGAATGTTTTTGTCTCGTCGCTCCGGCCGGACAGGGCATCAACAGTATGGTGAGGGGCGTAACATTTCCGTCACACGCTTGAGGTATATTCGGCCAATCACAACACACTGGATAGCTGGCCAATCACAGCACACCTCACTTTTATTTATATAAACATTAGGTAAACATATTAGACATTACAAGACACTACCAGCTTTCCTGCAGTTTGATCATCGACAGTGCAGTCTGATTGTTAAGCAAGTCACATAACATTCTAAGAATGATTTTTTAGCTCTCTGGGCGTACACCTAGAAGGGCTACTATGGGGTCTTCAGGGATTTCATGATGGAAGATTTCTTTAAGAGCATCAAATACGTCTTTCCAATAGTTTCTTAATTTTGGACATAACCACAAAATATGGATGTGGTTACCAACATGCTGTCCACAGTTTCTCAACAAAAACATTGAAACCCTGAAATAGGAACTTTTTTTTCTGTCAATCCCGTCAAAATGTTGCTGCCATAACAGTTTCTGTACCACGTGTTCTTTCTTCACGTTGAGTTTGTCAGAATAAATAAAGCTTTATTATTTGGTCACTAAACAATGAAAACCTTTGTTTTTGCAAGTTTTCATAGAAAGTATTACGAAAGCTTGTCTTCCCCTGCACTTACTCAAGGCCTTATTACGTTACTCCCAACCCTAGTATTTCTTCATAATTACAACATTTATATTTATAATGGTTTTCAGTGTCTTAGTAATATACAAGAAGCTATAACAGATCCCTGTCTGTTTTTGTAGGGCACATTTCTAATATTAATACTGATAAGACACTGTTTTTCTGCACTGCAAAAAATGATTTTCTTACTTAGTATTTTTGTCTTGTTTACCATTACAAATATCTAAACATTCTTAATTTTTCTTGCGTTTAGCGAAAACTAACAAAAGATTGATTTTTTCTTTCAGAAAACAAGACAATATCTCAAGTTGTTTTGCTTCTCAAGTAACTGCATCTTGATTTAAGAATGTTTAGATATTTGTAATGGAAAACAAAAAAAAATACAAAAATACTAAGAAAAGCATTTTATGAAGTGTGATTTCAGATTAGATATTTATTTTGGTTTTAGATATTTATAATGCATTCCATTTTTATGTAATTTATCTGAATATTAATTTCTAAGAATATGAGTAGATGTTTTGACAGCTTTTCTTCTATTATGGACAGAACAGGAACTCAACCTGTGGTTAACTAGAAACTTCCTGTCGATGTTCAGACTTTCAAAGCTATTGACCAGTGTTTTAGGTTTATGTTTTATTGAAAAATAAGACATTCTGTAGTTATGAAAAAGGCTGTCTTAATTGTCTCAGATGTCTTCTATTAAAACTACATTTTCAATTAATTGGATCAAACAACATATAATTATACACTTTGACACAACAGTCACCAGTTTTTATTATTTTGATTTCTCTTAAGTACAGTATATCTGAGCCTTAAGCGTATCCCATCATTCATCATGTTCAGGAACTCACATGCTCTGAAATCCTGAGATGTTGAGGAAAGTGCAAGTAAAATAAATTAGATATTAGATTAAAGGATATGTGTGTTGTGTATGAATAAATTATTGTTGATATACTGAATAAAAACAAACGTGAAAGCGTGGCCGCTTCAGAATAAGGGAAAGCAGGATCCATGTGCAGTCACAACATTTATTCAAACAAACAGGATCATAAGGTAAAATGGGATCATTACACATATTTCGATGTTTATAAAGCACTATATACATATTTATTGAAATGTGTCATTTAAGAACACTCTTCTCACAGATCCATTTATGCTTATCATTACATGGAAAATCAGCCCATCCTGGTGAATGAATTAGAGCACAGTCTTCCTCTTTTCCCTTGTAATTATTCGGTTGTCCAGACGCCCAGAACCTGCATCAACAGATCAGCGTTAGATGTTCAGTGCTGCTTTCTGTGTGATATGATACTGACTGTGAGAATCATGTATGAAATAATAATCAGTTCAGTGATTTCTCACCTAGAGGTCAGTGTGCTGCCATCAACCCATTTCCATCTGCCCTCCACTTCAATATCAGTCAGACCAATCCAGACTTTAGCAACACCTGAAATGTTCTTCACAAAATCCTGAGACATGAAACAATAACACAATTCATAAAATGAGCACAGACACATCTCAGCACATTATCTTTCATTTCGAAACTAAACCACAATTGCACGCAGACACACACACACACATACTTGAATTTGTGGTTTATGAGGACTCTCCAGAAGCGTAATGGGTTATATACTGTACAAACTGTATTTTCTATCGCCCTACACCTAAACCTACCCCTTACAGAAAACTACTGGCAATTTTTGAATTTCATAAAACAGTTTTGTATGTTTTTAAAGCCTTTTGTTTTATGGGGGACACAGGAAGTGTCCTCATAAACTATGTTTATGTTGTATCCATGTCATTATACACATTTGTGTCCTCATAAACCATATATACCAGTTCACACACACACTTCACTCACTTGTTCCTCTCTGTTGTTTATGATGATCAGATCTGCTGCTCTCTCTGTACAGTATCTTCTGCTCTCAGTCCAGCTCTTCGTCTCAGAGGAAATGAAGTAAAGACTGGATTGATAGTACGTCCATCCATCTATAAACACAACCAGATAAGCCATGAACTAAACTTTGATCCACATCAAGCTACTGTAAAATGGTTATTTATGTCAGTTGTAGTAGTAGTGTTTATATTATAGTAGTTGTTTATAATATGCTGTTTATATCTTTATTAATCATTTGTCTCATTGTTGATAGCTAATCTTTTTCTTTCTTATGTCACTGGATCAGTTGTTGTAATTATTATAGGACTATTACTTTATTCATAATGCAATAGTGAAACTGAATGCATTTATTCATACTCCCCGTCCCAAATGCAAATTCTATAACAAGGGATTTTTCCCACTAGTGGAGCAATTCAAGTCTGAATGTTTACAGTTTTTCTTGATTGCTAACACATTATAACTGATTAATTTAGCCCAACTTTCCAAACCATTAATTCAGTTCTCACAACCTTTAACATTTCACCTGTTTTCACACACGTTCCAATTTGATCAGCATTTTTTTGCTGAACTCTACACAAAAATGCCCTCATTTTGCACAGGTTTAACCACGTTCTCATTCAGACAACAAAAGCACACACATAATTACCTCCAGCATCACAATATGAACCCAAATAGCAGACATTTATCTATGTGTAAGCTTTCAGTAACAAAACTGTTGACACACCAATCAGAGTCCCAGGATATTATGAACAGGAACACATGTGATTATGTGCTTTGGAAAATGAATCCTAGGGGGGGGGGGGGGGGGGGGGGTCAAAGGACATTTGTTCCTGTTGAAATACAATGCTCTATAGTTGAACGTGCTGCATGGAGTGACCTACAGGGGTTTTACACTACTTACACCTACAGTATCATTTCAGCACATAGTCACTGTACTTTAAGATGAGAGAACTTTTTACTATTCTGTGTAGTAAATACTGTAACACAAGTTGTACACCCTCAAACTCATAACTGTTGGATTGATTTGTAGCAAAGAACTTCTTACATGTAGTTTTGCAGGACTGAGAGACGACTGTCTAGGAGAGGCAGAGAAAGTCTAGAAGACTGTAGGATATCAGACCGATTCAGACAATCTAAGATTTGGTCAAACATGGTTGAAACATTAGGAGCACAAAAATTCCACAGAGGCCCAAGACAACAGGATGTCATAAATCAGACCCTAGCCGGTCTGAAGCAAGCCTAAACCACTCTTTCACAGAACAGTTTTCAACATTAACACAAAAGAAAACTTATTGACAAGTCCATGGAGATTGTCAATTTTGGGGCAAGTTATCAAGAATAATGGTCAAAAGAGATGCACAGCGTGACCATCTCATGGAAACATGTGATAGGGATCACAAGCTTCGGATTGACTTTTCCCCCACCTCACGACAAAGAACAGACTTTCAGAAATTCCTTACAGACCTCTTAATCTCTGGTCTTCATACATTCACAGAATGGCACGGAAACTGCCTTTCCATGCACCTAAATGACACTAAAAGGACTCAAGCAACTAATCATTGCTATATATATATATCTCCATATTATGTATGCAACCTACATGTGACTTATCAGGTCTTAATCATTTATTGTGAATGTATTTTGAATAACTATTGAATAGTTTAAGAATTGCTATTCATGTTTAGTATGTGTGTGTTTGAATCTTCATGCTTGAAACGTTTATTCTAATCACTTCGTTGTCAAATGTATCATTTTTATTATAGAAATCATGTCCAAAATGTATACTCTGCCAGAGCGGGAAAAACGCGGATCATGTGAATAATGAGATAACAGTTGATTTATGAATGGGGAGGAGGAATATACAAAACCCCCGAGCAACGACGACATCTAATTGGTCAAAGCACCATTTGGGGTGTGTTAAACAGCCTGGTTTAAATACTAGAAACACCATCAAATTTGGCTT